CTGCTCCCAAAAATTTAAAAATAAAAATAAAAATCAGATCTCAGTGAAGCAACTCAGGATGGATATTCTTACTGATGTGGATTAGATATTGTGTTAGGAATTAGAAGATGCCACATCATTTAAAGGAAATGAAAAGACACATCAAAAATCAAAATGAACAAATAATGAGGTAGGTTAGTCCATTTGATAAAATTTAATTGCAGCAACTCAAAGTAGTACTCAGTAGTTTGTTAGGCCCTCACAGTTTGTATGCATGTTTTTGGCAGCTCCAATACAGTCCTTGCTTACCACCTGTCCTTCCCAGCAAACTGAAACAGACGTTGTAGGTCACTGGACACAATCCCATCATGAACGTGCAGGTGCAAGTGTTTGGTTTATTGGTGAAGTTGTAGAACTTTGTAATTCCATGACGGGTGAGAACAAACTGATAAAATATTGAACTAACTTCAGAGTAAAAGAAAGAAAAGACTTCATTGTCACATTTGAGACACTGGGGCTATCAGATGTTCTCAATTCTTTCCAGAAAATCATCAATTATCCAAACGGCTGCTGTTATTGGCTCATCAATTAAAACAGAATTGGTTGCTGCTGTGCTTTAAAGGTCGCCTGCACATCGGCCACTTTTACTCTCGATTGTTCTCACTCAGAAAAATCGAATCATTAGCAACTCTTGTATTGGATACTCACCCATTACTGTTAATGCCTCCTGGAGGACATAAGAACTCACCTGAGTGGCTACTTAGAAAGATCCAGTCATTAGTGTGTGAACGAGTTATGAGCAGGAAGAACGGATGAAAGGAGAGAATGAGTCAGCAGTGGCTAGTGGAAAAGACGGCAACTGCCTAAGTGTTATTTTCAAATTTAATTGTACAAGGATTTGAGGGTGGAGAGTGGGGGGAAGGCGGGCCAAATCTGCAGCGCCTGGAGTATAGTTTCCACTCTTTTCTCATCGGCTCAGGCCACCCAGCTGCTCTGCATGCCTTTCGCCACTGGTCGGCACTCCGGCACCCTCAGCCTGCCCACGGAGGCCTTCAGTGGTGCCAGGAGAGCACTGGGCCACCTCCGTAGCCACATAGAGGAGGTCTGCCGGGAGGAGGTCGACAAGATCACCCCCGCAGGTAGGTAGCACCACCTGGACTCAGGATGAGCTTCAAAGATGCTAACACCAACTCACAGTTATGGATGGGAATTGATAAGAATTTAGCAATTCCATTATTAACATGACTTATCAATTCTCAATGGCTCTCAATGAGAATATCAAAGATGTTACATTCATGGGAATTAATAACATGCCGAGTGGTCAAATGTTTGTGCATGTTGGAGGTATTTCACCTCTTTGTTGTGATCAGTGTTGGCGTCATTACTCAAAAAAGTAAATAAAAAAAGTTATTGCAGATATTACACAGAGCAATTTTCTAAAAAGTAACAACATACGTTACTTAATTACACCCAGGAGAAAGACATTTGTTATACTACTCGTTAGGTTCCTTTCATGTTACTTTGTAAAATGACCTGAAACACTGTCAACAATATAAACCTACAGCCCCACACACCAACACAGATCCCTGTCCTGGGGTCCGTTCTTCGTACCTCGCTTACTACATCCAAGATCAAATGACACATCCAAGATCAAATCATCGCGCCAACTTTGAGCTCGCTATTCCGGTTCTCCGAACACACCTGTTGTTGACGATTACTACAGCTGGATGAAGTAATGTGAGATCACTGTGTGGCTTAAAAGGGGCTACGCATCGATAGTAGAAACATTGATCGGCAACCCTTTGATTGGTCGGCGAAAATGTCGAAGGAGCGCGCTCAGTATTTTTCGGCAGCAGAGCAAGAACTCTTGATTGAGGGATTTCAGGAGTTTCAGAGTTTAATTAAAACGCAAGGGAACACTGCAAAGGCTGCAAAAGC